CTGCAGCTGCAGTAAATATATTTTATTTTACTTTATACTTATATCACACAGAGCACATGCTTTTTTAACCTACCTGTCTCTCATAACTCTTGATGATGCTGTCCTGGTTCTCCAGCTTCCTTTCCAGATCGGAAGCATGGTCTAGCGCTACAGACAGTTGCACCTTAGACTGAGTTGCTTCATTTTCCAAAGTGTGATTGCTGCTCTCCAGAATATTGGCCTCTTCGGACAAACACTTGAACTGGTCGAGAATTTCCGTCCTTTCTAGTTCCTAAAATCGCAATAAAATAGTCCTGGTGTTCCAATAAAGTTATCTAACAATGCAGTTGTAACCGTCACAATACTATGATCAAAAGTACCCGCGAATACAAATACCTTTTGAGATATGAGATCCTCAGTCCTTTTGACCTCTGCAACATAATGCTGAAGTTGTCTAGTCAGATCATCCACCTGCCTCTTTGATATTTCTAATTCTTTGCGAGTGTCCCTAACATCGCATGTCAAACTAGCAATGTCATCCAGTAATCTCCTAAAACAGTCGATTTCAAAAAACGATGCACTGGGTGATGCACGTGATATCTTAGTCTGCTTTACTGGTCTAGGCAGTCAGTTCAACAAGCTTGTCAAATTTATCCAATTACCGAATTTGTCATATCAGCATAAAGTAGGAATATCCAATAGAAACTTCTCGCACTATTTGATATCCCACTATCGAAAAATAAATTTGAGTTTCATCTAATGCATTTCTACCAATAATGGTTACGACACTAATGATCTTTCAACTCCAAGAAACGATATATGATATTTTTACTATTTCAATCTACCCATAAGATCGGCGTTTTTTTAAATAGAAATACTTTCACATAGCTTCAAAACAAATGATAACTTGAGGAAATTCATTGAACAAATAAACACCAAACTTAAGTCACGAATAGTGAATTCTAAAAAATCGACTTCAGAACACTTCCAATTTTTGTAAAAGTTGTTTGTTCAAGAAAATAAATGTAGACGGTTACAAAATGGAGTTATACAATTATAAAAATATGTATTTATTACCGTAGCTTCCCAACATCGCGGATTATAGGCACGGAATTACATAATATCTATGTCTACTTAATTTTTTTTTCTGAAAGGAATGCAACGAAAATAGAAAACTTTCGACTGGTTTCAACGAGTACCATCGGTAATGATATACGTAGGTCACAGGTCACACTTAAGACCGATGACTTTCACTGATTCCGTATGGTTTAAACAAATTCATAAGAAACTCGTTTTACAATCTATATGAATGTGGTTAACAGAGTGTGGTTAACAGAATTGTGTCAAAATTGATAATTTGTTCAACATCCAAGAAAAGGACAAAAAATTAGTACCTAGATACTGTGTACCTAGATACTGTGTTTTGATTATGCTGTATCTCCAGAACCAGTGCTATGCTATAACTTCCTAAACCAGTGAAAACATGTTCAAACACGGTATATACCTACTAATGTGCACACGTTTCCACTTGTGTTTGGTATTGAGGAGCCGAACTGAACAGTATTTTTATAGTATTTCTATACAACAAATATTTGACTTCACATCCATTGGTCATTCAATTTGTAGGCAATTTGACTCTTCCGAAGTTTATATTACGCAGTATTTTTTTCGGGGTGAACTCTTCAGTTTGTCCTCTATTACAGTTCTTCACGTGGTCAACTGAATTACATACCTTCGCTTATTTTTCAGATTGTGGATGGTTAAACACGCCAAACAGTACGAAACATCTCCTTTACTATCAAAATTATATATCTCAGGTTACAATAATCACGATTTCGATAATAATTTTCCATACCATAACACATTGATGTTTTACAAATCTGTATCAATGCCTACCTCATCGTTGATTGAAATTCGGTTTCAACAGTTGGTTAAAACCACATAGCACTACTATTATTGAATCCATGTGATTTTTAGTTCGCCCTCACCTTCAAAAGACACATATACAAATTTAACAGCTGTGGGACTATTAGTTTGTGGGATAGAACATTTTGAGTGAAGCAACTTTTGTTAGTTTGCAGAATTTGGACAAAAAGGAATTTCATGTGTTGATAAAGTATTGCTCTTTGGCGGAAAAAAATGCTGATGAAGTAAAGGTTTGGCTCGAAAAACATCATCTGGATTTTTCACCAGGAAAATCAACCAGTGAGAAGTGTTTTGTTAAGTTTAAATGATGTGAAATGAGCACCGAGGAGGATGCATGCAGTGGACGCCCCAAAGACCGGCGAAATTATCGAAAAACTTCACAAAATAATTTCAGATAACCGCAAAGTGAAGTTGATCGATATAGCTGAAGCTCTAAAGATATAAAAGGAATGTGTTGAAAGTATCTTAGATGCAAATTTGGGAATGCGAAATCTTGGTTCAAAGTGAGAGCTCATATCGACCAAAAACCATCGAACATAGCAGTGTTTGAAACTGTTAAATCATGAAAAACCTGAATTTATGCATCGATATGTGACAATGGATGAAACATGGATCCACCACGTTCAGAGACCACGGGAGACCATTTGTTCTTAAGGCATCTGCAGCTGCAGTTGGTCGAGTTTTCGATAGTGTTACCGAGTTGGAACCCGTTCAGCAAATAGACCAACATGAAAGCCGAAGAAATCACTCGACTTTGTGGTTCACGAGGATGAGCCTACAGATGGGTCTTCATCAAAAACCCTGAAGACCTCGACTTATCAATACATCTGACATTTACTTTCCTTAGGTCGAGTGGGCTAAAATCTGAAACTGAGGGGCCTGCCAGAACGGTGTCTTCAACACGGTTAACGTTGATATTAGATGAAACAACACAAATCACAATAATTTTTACCTTTTGGAACTATGACACTATTCTCTCACCCTCTGGTATTATATTGGCAATGCGTAGGTCTGATTTTGATTTCATTCGTTCAGCAAATAGACCAACATGAAAGCCGAAGAAATCACTCGACTTTGTGGTTCACGAGGATGAGCCTACAGATGGGTCTTCATCAAAAACCCTGAAGACCTCGACTTATCAATACATCTGACATTTACTTTCCTTAGGTCGAGTGGGCTAAAATCTGAAACTGAGGGGCCTGCCAGAACGGTGTCTTCAACACGGACAATACAGTTAACGTTGATATTAGATGAAACAACACAAATCACAATAATTTTTACCTTTTGGAACTATGACACTATTCTCTCACCCTCTGGTATTATATTGGCAATGCGTAGGTCTGATTTTGATTTCATGTTTAAGTATATTCAATAAGTGAATTAATATTGCAAATTGGAATTTGAAACATTCACCTCTCCCAACGTTTCTATACGGTAAGATCGTTCTGACAAATGCCTGCCCGAAAACAACTATTTCCCTGGTTGATACTACGACGAACATTTGATTATATCCGAATAGTTTGAATTTTTTTTTGTGGAACATGAATCGGTTCTTGAATTTTGCTCTAGTAGTAAAATGAATATCTTACTTTCAGAGAACTACAAATGATTTTTGCATAAAAACAAGGCACCATTCATAATATAGGGTTCTACAGAAGAATGCGTATGAACTTTGCAATATAACTCAAGACTTCTGTGTATTCCGATAATTCTTTATCGAGTAGAAGGCGAAAGTAAACAAAAACCAGCGAAGGATTGCATAATACCTTGAGTCGTACACACACACACGGTTCACGCGGCGCATTCTGACGAGGTACGAATTAATTAACGAGCCAAAAGGTAATTTTATCATGAAGAAAGAAGAGAAAAGTTGACGTGACTTACTAGATATTTCAACGTTGATTTCCTTAAAGCTCTATTAATTCGTGATTAATTCGTTGAAAACTGTCTATTATCATACGTTGCGAAGGCAAGGTCACATTAATTTATATGGGAATTGAAATACTTTCGAATTCAAATGGATAACGTACAAGTTGTAGAGACGTTATACAAAAAATTTGCGCGAATGACTGAGCAATCTATAAATGGTTAAACAAATGACTTACAAAGCAGAAAGTGGCACTCAAAACGGTTGCATTTTGTGAAACGAACTCTATTTGAGTGCCATGGAAAACATGAATCGAATTGTCATTATGTGGCACTTTATTTTGTAGCTTTGACGAGCTAACATTGTGATAGAGCATTGAAAAATTCAATTTTTAATGACAGTATTATTACTAATTATGACTCAATCATATTGAAATCTCAATGTATTTCATTTTAGACATGAATAAAAACTTGTGATGCACTGTTTGGAACCTTTGGTGTAGTAAAGAATATTACTGGAGTTTTTTTCCAACACCAAACCGGTATTTTAACACTTCCACACGTGTTTCGATCACCAAATGATCATCTTCAAGAGGAAGATCAAACTCTTCTTGATATTCCTCTTGAAGATGACCACTTAGTGATCGAAACACGTGTCGAGGAGTTGAAAAAAGGAAATATAGGTACCCATCACTCTAAAGCAATGTTCATTTACACACAAATGTTCTCATAGAAGTTATCAGAAATTTATTATTATTATAATTATGCAAATCTAATTACATAAAATTAAAAGTTTCAGTAAGCTTCATTTTTAACATTCAATTTTTTTTCAATATTCCAAACTCCGATTTTAGGTCAAATGACAGTGTCTTACTCATTCAAAATGAGAAAAACTAAAATTGAGGACAGCTCCGCATAAAGAGTCTCATCAATATTTCTACCGAGTCTTGTACAACAATAACAAAAATCTCCCTTCAGGCATGGTAATCACATAACTACCATGGCGCGACGAATGACAAACATCTGTGGAATAAAATCGATGAATAATCCAATCAAGACGCAATGAAAAAGTCGACATCCTTCACATTGCGCGCTACCGAATTGCATCATCATGCATATATCGCATGCAAAGTGACCTTCGGCGTTGATTTAATCGTTTCTGGTGAATTTTCTGGTAGATTTTCTCAATGTCAGCATTGCGACGTGCTTTTCCAGGCATCGTCAGTCACACGTACTAAAATTTTAATAAAGAAGTTGAGAAATTCTGAAGATATTTTTAGTACGAATATTATTTGCAAGAATCTATACATATATTTGATATTTCAAAACAGTTGCTCACATTGCACTTTCTAATAGGTCGCAAAAATCTCTAGCCCCTCAGTAATGACATATATAAGGTTCATTCAACATAATACATATCTACTATGGATCACCGAGATTTCAGTAAAAGGTAACTATTTTTCTATATTGTCTATTTTGTTTCAACATCATTTGACGAAATAAACAATAAACATTTTCATCTAGCATCGGCCTGACACTTCATTCCAATGATATATTGTTTCCAGTGTCGGAATTCTCTCATATGAATCTTCGAGAGAGGCAGAAAGGCTCCAGTCCAGAGAAAGAAGTCTTCTTCACGAAGATACCAGTATTTTTCCATTTCCTTTTTCTTTTGTGAGCTGGGATCTTCATTAAACTTACTTGATTCATCTTTTTGTTTTGGGACGGTTTTGCAGCCTCAAATCAGTTGAGACTTCA